TATACTGTCTATAATGTATATAATTCCTAATTTGAACTTGATAAAAAAAAATAATCAGTGGCACTACAACCTCTTTAGGTCTTGGCCTCAGATTTCTGAATCTGTTTCATGATCATATTTTAAATCTAATAGGCAAGTAGGTGATCAGTCTCCAGTACCTGACACACGCCATCGACTTTTTGGGTCTAAGACACGTCGGTTTCCTCACGATGTTTTCCTTCACCGTTCGAGCAAATGTTAAATGCGCACATAGAAAGAACGTCCATTGGTGCACAGCCAGGGATCGAACCTACGACCTCTGGTATGAGAGTCGCACGCTGAAGCCACTAGGCCAACACTGCTCTTTAAATAAAATAACGAAATACAGTCAAAAGTGAAATGTAAATAACTTTTTTAATCTAAGTAACTTTGGGTCATATGTATGTGCGGATGGGATCATAATTAGCCTATGTCAGGCTTTAGCTCCCTCCGGAGGTTTCAACTTGTCAGAGTGTCATTGACACGAGGGTCCTCTAATTTTGACGTATGCATTTTTATTACTTGTTTCATTTAAGTGAATTTTATTATTCACGATGGGTCGCCAGGGTTGGGTCAGTGGGATGAATATTTGATTTCATTTCTAAAAAAAGTTTCTTAACATCCAAAAGTTTTAGTGATGAGAAATGTTCGACTAGTTGAATGAGCATGCGCTTCATCACCCTGAGGTCGTGTGTTCAAATTACGCCTGTATAGTAATATGCGCCAATAGATTTTCTTTGAATGTGCGCGTAAAGGAAAATCATCATGTACAAACTGGCATTCCTAGAGTTGACACCGTATTTCAGGCACATAAGGATTGCCATGCTTATGAGAAGTCAGTCTTAAAAAAATAAAAACCCCGCGAAGATTCTGGGCATGTCATACAAAAAAATATTTCAAAAATTAAACTCTAGAAAGTAACAACATATTAAGGGAGTTAAGTGATTACTGTTCGATCTTTGGGAATAGATGTAACAACTATATAATAAGTACACATTTTATTAATATGATTGATTAAAGAGTTTATTACGCATCCATTAATCTATCTGCTACTCTCATCTACTGTTCGTATGAATTTAAAAAATGCTCAAATCGAAAATAAGGTTCATTTTATTTTAACTCTACCCTGGCAAGTTATGACTCTAAAGTGACTTGAATTGTAGAGATTTAAAATATTCGCTAGCACGAGATTTGTGCCTCTGAAAAATAACCGCAGACGAAATTAATCTCTTCTAAAAGCGCACTTTATATAAACCTGACGTTGACGCTAAACGAAATTCGATTTTTAAAATTAAAAAGAAAATTCAATCTTGGTACTTTTATTTTGGAATTAACATTACGTTTTACGGTGTCATAGACTGGTGCGGCCCGTTTTTGCACTAATATTTAGCATAATGCGCACTTCTCGTTCGTTCACCCTTAATTTGAACACTGGCAAAAAATATTAATTTATTAACAATAATAAAAGCCTATCGTTTTAGATATTAGGTATTTTAAATTTAATTTACCATTATATTATCTTTGTAACACTAGTAATTCCATGGTATCTGTGTGCCCTTTTCTGGCAAAGGCCTCATCTAAACTTTAATTTCTCCGAATTTAAATTTAGGACCATTTCAAATTATTCACCATAAAAATTGTACATAGTGTGAACAGCGATCATAGCGATGAAGGCCCAAAAATTTACGGCCGGTTTCTCAAAAGACCTTACTTGTTTATTAATAATAAATTAAAATTAATTATACAGATTCAGAAATCTAAGGTAACCAATAAAGAGTTAATTTGTGACTAAATAAAGACGTAATTTCATCCGCACCACCTTGATGGCTTCACAAGATATTTTCCTTTGCGAACTAGCGAACTGTGGAATCAAGACCCGAGAGAAACAACCTCCAATTGTTTAAAAAAGAGTATATTCCCCCCTAAAATGTTGGCAACGCACCCACTAAAATGGGTGTTCATGGGCTGCGATGACTGCCTTTTTTAAACCTCCCGTAGATTCGTTTGCCTCCCTTTCCTATACAAAATATGAGGCCTGCTATCTGTTAAATATTATTTATGTGTCGCAACTTATTCCTCTCTAAAACCTAACCAAAATTTTACAAGATCATCTCTGAGAAATTATTTAGCCAAATATTTATTCAGATTTGGAGGAATATATAAACATTTCATTTGGTACAATAAACTATGTAATCAAGTCGAAAAATCACAAATTATATCTGTGGTCATAGATCAGACAATGATAAATTAGTAGTAATAGGTACATTCATTTATATATCGAGTGTTTCATATTTTAATAAAGCCTTCAAGATTTCTCAATAATTTAATTGCTTGTCCTGTAAAGTAATGAAATTGCATTTATCATATTCTGACCTATGGCCACAAATATATATTTGCCAGTACATATAGATCTGTCCCGTGCCTTACTCGCTACCAATAACAGTTTCAGTATAAAGTTTAAAAACTCAATTGGGGCATATTCACAAGACCCCTAATTTGTGGGGCGTACGTGGGACTAATGCGTCACAGGTGTCGCATACTGTAACGATGACAGGATCGCTAATTGTTTCGTGTTTGCAAACATATTAATGTTGCCACAACTTCTTGCTATTATAAACACTGGTGACAAAATTCACTTTAAACAAGGGTTAAGGATCGGTTTAATAAACAAATGATAATGCAGTCAAAATATATACAGGGAAGCTAATCGCAAATCGATTTTACCGGTTTGCTTTAAGTTTCTAAGCAGATACTGAAAACAGATAGACCCTACTGTGAATTCAAGGATCTTTCGGTAGTTCCGAATAATATTTTGTTTTTTCGACACCATAATGTTTGTAGCCAGTCTAATTTGAAAACAAGTCACTTGCCAAAATAATATCTAAATAACCCGGAGGTTCAGGATTCGACTATCTGCAGAACTCGTTATTTTTTTAACGTTTTAATTAGTTACTTACTTTATACGTTTTAGCACAATTCGTTTAGTGTTTGTCTAGAACAATTAGGTATTTTGTTTCTATCATAATAGTTGGTGCGAATCAAAAATGTATATACATTTCGCGTACAATTTTGAAAAAAACGAAGCAGAAATTAAGATTCTATATTTATAATTTTCATAAATATAACAAGAATATCGACAGTCGTTCGTACGTAAATGTACCACTTCATTTGCGGCAATCAACTTTTAATTTTATCCGCTCTTTGAACTAGTTAGACTGTTCAAAGAGAAGTTTTTCGGTTAAGATCTGAGCAAGTACGTGCTGATAAAAGGGAACTTCAAGACCGTGACCTTTATGGATCAAATCTACTCTTATTCACTTGAATAAGAGAAGATTGGAACTAAGTAGTTTTCTGCACGTTACCTTTCTCTATTTAACGTGCGACTTTCGCCTAATAATTTATAATAATTTTCCTATTAAAAGCAGTAAGAACTAAGTATTTCTTACTGCTTTTAATAGGAAAATTATTATTAGTATAGCTTAAGGCCAAGCCATAGTCTGCTGCGGGGCCCGAACGATCTTGGTATTTTTTTCGAACCGCCCACTTGACACGGAAAGGCATTCCGTCATCACTTCGTTCCTTTGCTAATTATTGCGTAATTTTGTAATTCTTTGTCTCATACATATTATATTATAAGCATTGTGAACACTGTCTGCACCTATTATCGAAGCCACACATTGGTTTTAGTTTGTGTAACTTGTTTCTTTTCTTTTTTCTGAAGCCACAACAACAATGGCCTTTAATTAAAAAATATTTAATTGGTTGGATTGGTCATTGGAACTGCACGTTACCTTTCTCCTTTCACATAATACAGTCAAAACTAAGTCTAAATTTAGCTAGAAAAGGCCATTCATAGTGATTTTATCAGTGCAGTTTTGACCTAGTGGTTTTAACGAGCGACTTTCATCCCTGAGATCGTAGACAGATCGGGACAGCCAGGGTAATGGCCTTTCTGTCTATGTGCCGATTTAACATTCGCTCGTACGGTCGAGGAAAATTTCATGAGCAAAGACATGCGTTAGATCAAAAATGTTGACGGCGTGTGTCACAAGTAAAGAAGACTGATCACCTCCTTGCCTATTAAGAAAAGTAAAAGATCACGAAACACATATAGAATTCTGAGGCCCAGACCTGATGGTTGTAGCGCCACTGGGTTTTTAGTAAATATATCAGATTAAATGTATATAATAAAATTGTTAATTAATAGATTATGATTTTTTTATTGTCTACCAAGACAATGTTTCATACAGAAGATATTGAAACAAAAACAGCATCGTCGTGATGCACACCGAAAATATTTTTTTGGTTTTATGTATATTATAGAGAAATTATTGCGAATTTATTTAAATAATGTAGAGAGATGCATTTAAAGAAAATTTTTTTTCACCGGATTAAAGTCTCACGGTCACCGTGACCACGCACGCTGTAAAGCACGCGAAACGTCGGATAAATTTAAAATTATGTTAAATAATTGAAAAATTTATAATAATACATAACTTTAATCCGGTTTTTTCTTTAAATGTGTAAAGGTTATATTAATCAAAGACAATACTATAGACAGATGCAGTTATAATTAATCACACCACAATCTATGAGGTATCGACAGGTTTTGGAATATGATGACACATTGGAATTTACATGTTAACACTGCCAATCAAGAGATTGTAGCGGGTATTAATTTAACGCTTAATATAATATTTTAAACTACGTTTTTAATTATTACCTATTATTTTTAATTACTATTAAGTTTGGAGAAATTTCGTGTCTACATATATACAGGAAAGCCTTGTTACAAAATTTTCTAAAGTTATTTCTCATATGTAAAACTCAAAAATTTCAGATATCTCACACTAATAGTGAGAATACAAAAGGTCAGATAAATAAGTGCACAAAAACATTGTTATATGGGAAGTTTTATATTTACTCAAATCAGCAACAATTTCAACATTTCGTCCTCTCTTATTTACAGCTTAAATTTTAAATCAATACATCTCTTCGAGCGAAGTCATATAATGCTCCTGTAGTTCCGAGTTATCGACGTGCCTCTTTCTAAACATCGACGCAATCACCGCTTCTTCAGTGGGCACATTCGTTTCCCTTTTTCCTTGTACCTTTTTATTCTTCTTGTTTGTTTTTCTTTTCGAAGCCGTCAGAATTAAATCAGCTTCGGGCGATTCGCAGGGTAAAGATTTTTGTATGCTGTAAACTTGGCACGTCGTAGAAATAGCTCGTGTTACGTTCGGTTCTGATATTAATTGATTGTTTGTTTCTTTCACCTTCAGCGCGTATATTTCACCATTCTCGTTATATTTTATTACTGATACTGACTTTTTTGCTTTAGTTTTCTTCGATTTCTTCTCGCCTTTTGTTTCAAAATTAACGCTTCTTTTCTGTTTTATTTTGTTATCTTTCTTTGTCAAAAGCTGGTAAATATCATCGTCCCTAATTTTTGACAGGCGATGCACTTTGTGAGCTTTTACAACTCGTTCCATACAATTAACGCAGCTTTTGCAAGATGGATCCGTGAACACAGCCTGTAAATCACTCGCTTTATTATTATTAGCTTCAATATTAACATTTAACATTATATTTTTTCCAACGTTTACCCGCTTTTTTGTTACCGTATCATTGGCTGTATCATAATACGAATATCCCATTTTACTTTTTCCTGAAAAATTATACAGTCATTTTTAATTTAAAAGTAACGAGGAACTAGGAAGATAACCTAGTTATACTGTGATAATAGAAGTGTGCTAACGAAGCAAGTATGAGCGTTGGAGAAATTTTAATTAAGTACCTCAAGGAGTAACGAAAAGGGTAAAAGTAAATCAAAGCGTAGCTCCTCACCTCGCGCTTGCGGCACAAGTGTTAGAAATGCATACAACAGTAGCGGACTCATTAGTTCCATTTGTCTCTCACTTGCAAGGCGTCGTCCTTGCACCTGACAATGCAACAAATGCACACTAACAAGCTTCGTTACAGCAAATCTGTTACAAAACGCACACTTCACCGCTCCCGTGTCTTAGTTAAAGTAAATGTTTCAAAGTGCTTTGCTATTTCGCGCGTATTATTATCAAGCGTGGAATTAGAATAGGTCTTCTCAAATGGAAATAAATCGACAAGCGTTGTCTGCTAAATCGGAGCTTACATTAACCTGTTTAAGGGCATTTTGTGAGAATATATCAATATTTACTGAAGCGGAAGTGTTTACGTGAGATGGGTTTGACAATCGAATGTTTGATTTTCACCAGTCTCAGGGGGCTATTGTTCTCGTGTTTATATGTTTATGCAGACCGTTAACTGCACTGTGGAATCCGTGCAACACTATGTAACGATACACTGAAGCAGACAATTGCTTTGTACTGTAACTATTAGGTGATACGTATGAGTGTTTCGTATCAGTAAGTTATCGTAACTGGTATCGGATTTCGCATGTGTCTACACAAAACCAACAAGCTTAAAATAAACAACGGAAATTTATCAACTATAGTACTTATTTATGCAATTGTATGTAAGTGCGTAGTCGGCATTTCATGAGTACACAGGGTTAAAAATAATTAGTTAGACATGATACATAGTGGCGCACGAGGTAATGTAGTGATTGCTTTAACATAAAATATCTTGGCTATTATGTTAACCTATTCATGGTAAGCATTATTTAACTAGTAGCAACTACAAAGGATATTGGCAAATGAAGTGTACTTCAAATTAAGTCTGTAATTATCAGATAACTTTAATGTGAAGTGATCAGAAGTGATACTTAAAAACTTGATCATAATAACCATTTATATAATCTATTGCGACAACGTATTGCGTATTTGAAAGGAACTAATTTTTTTATGCTCTGATTGCAGATTCAGAAACTGCCACTAAAATCCCTGGCGTCAAATATATATTTTTTTTATAAATTTTCTTTGATGCCAAGTAATTGATTAGTCAACCTGACATGCTCTCGTTTTTGGGTTTGAGACGTTGTGGTTTTCTAACGATAGTTTAGTATAAAAAATGTAATTACATCAAGTATAAAAAATGTAATTACATCAAGTGCAAAACTCACCAAGCTTTATCAGTTTAAAAATTAATGCTCGCGAAAACGTCATGACTCTTGGCTTACGGTCGTGAACTTAAAATATTTTCAGTAGTTTTCGCGAATTCAGATAAAAAATGTGACATGGCATTAAATTAAATGAATTTCCCCAAGCCAAACTAGCGTCCCGCCGGCACAGGCTCATTTCGCTTATCAACCGTTTTCATGCGTTCCCACTTATCTTGCTGTCGTATATTCTTTTAAAGGAAAATAAGCACCTATAATTTTATTGTATGAGCAGTTTGGGCGAATAAGGTTTTATATTGGAATCTTTATTGAAGAATGTATTAATTTTTATACTGTCTGGGTTCCATTTTCATTTAATAGCTATAAATGATTAGGATGAAATTTATATACTTACAATTAGATGTTTCACTTTTCTATCTTGTTTTAAATAAGGAAATAACAAATGAGACGTATTAATTAGAGGTATTTGCACCTTGGATTATTTTTTGAGAAATGTAAGGGATCTTCCGTTCCTACCAACCCAAAACTGGTTTGCCGGGAATCAAAACCAGAACCACCGATTTACTAAATCACGAAGGCAAAAATAACAATTACTAAAAATTCTAGACAACGCTTTCATTTGTTTGTTATATTTCATCGGCTATCTTGTAGCTTGCCTTTCTTCAAAGAATATGCTTCATCTTATTCAATACACAACCCTTGTTTTTCCAAGATAAATATAGTCTTCACTGGAGTAGTACACATTTAAATAAAACTTCTTTGATGCCTATATTGCCCATGTCTTAGGTCTCAGAACGCACAATTTAAAATCGAATAAAAAATTGTTCGGTCTTTTTGTGTGGCAAATATGTGGTAATGATATTTGGCACTACACGGGACAATGAACCTGTATCGCTCAAAAAGAATACGTGTATGTAGGGGGAAATCAATACTTTATAGCTGTCAAAAACTGAAAGTATCGTTACGAAACTACTACGAGTATAGATTTAAAGCTAAGACATAAGAAAACCAATCGAAACGTCGATTAATGAATAATATATGCGTTAGGTTTGGTAAAATTTAAATCTCTTTGTTCCTATACATATACTTGAACATACTCGTATAAATAATATAAAAGAATTGATAAGGAGCTTAGCATGCATTTTCTACAAATTCTTTCCTCATTTTATCGTTGGCGTGAGGTCATTTGTTTCTCTTATAAAGTACGTTGGGCTCCCATTTGTATGGTACTCTTCTGACTGGAAATCAGCGCGCTTTCTATGCATTTTTAAAGCGAACCAAAACGATGCCTTTAGATTTTCCTTTTATGAGCTTTATAAACGTGCTATCATTGTTTATTTTGCTAGAACATCAACGTCATATATTTTTTAGCTTTCATTTGAGCCTTTCATTAAGCTGTAGCGTTGTTTTAGTGGATTTTCAAGTTTATTTCAGAATTTAATTACTAATTAGTGCGCACGTGTAATCACTGGGCACAAATTCACTGTGTGTGTCAAATAGCGGGATATTTAATACTAAAATTGTATATATGGGTTAATATTCACTTAAATAATCTGCTATACCTTTTGAAAATGACGGTGATTTAACATAAGCATTATTAGCCCGGTGTTTCAGCGACTCAGATTGCGCGTTCGAACTCCGGCAAATGTAATTTATTTTTAAGTGCCACATTAACGCTTTCTCATTACCTGTCGTTAGGTATTTATTGGCTTCTAAATTACATTATTTTAAGTGTACCAAAATATAGTTAGTCTGCGTGGATTTAGGATGACTAATTTATCTAAAGCTGCAAGTAAAACAAACGAACTTGAACTCCACATATATAAAGTACTATATTATTATATTATAAATCTTAATAATAATAAAGCCCGTTTTATTTCCAATCATAAAAAAACAAATTATTATAAACTTAGATTATTTTACATTTTTTTTCTTTTAGTTGGTATCCTATATCCTAGCTACCTTCAGTACCGTCGATTGGTACCGCTTCAAAGGTAAAGGCCTCCTCCAGCTTTTTCCAACTGACTCTGTCTATGGTTCTCTTTCTCCATTCGTTACCTGCTACCGCTTCTTTTTCTTCTAATCATCTTTTTTTATTAAATCAACAAACAAATCTTAATAAAATAATATTTATTTAAAACATGTAATAATATAATGTATTATTAGGAAACACAAAAGATTAGAACGTGTAGGTACTTCAGACTTTTAAAATCTACTGAGGTTAGGTTAGTAACAAGTCCGTTCCGCACGAAGTCTCGAAATAAAAGTGAGTCAACGCCGGTGTTGCCACGCTTTATATAGGTTTCTGCTACAAAATGGCGTTAGTCCGCTAACACGGCCTCTCCTGACACCCTGACGTCCTCGTCAGGATTTGATGTTCCAGCGTCTATACTGTCATCTCTGTGGGTAGAATAGAACGTTAGAACATTACAGTTCTGGGAAGGTATTGCGTCGTCTATTTGGTCAGCAGCTGAACATATTTACTTGGTTTAATACAAACAATCAAAGTAATGAAAGATAGAAAGTAACTTTAAAGTATCAGACTCCAAGGAATGAGTGAAAGATTATTCATAACCCTTACAAGATTTGAAACAAACTAGCACTTTCATGTGTAAAGGACTTGTGTAAACAATCACAAGTTTAGTATCACCATAAGAGTAGATATAAGGTATAAAGGTCTACTTATTTCTCAAGAAGATCGTGAGTTTGGGGCTAGTTACCCTGTCCATTGATCTTTTTACCATTCATAAAGGAAGATCGTGAGTTTGAGGCTGGTTACCCTGTCCATTGATCTTTTTACCATTCATACAGGAAGATCATGAGTTTGGGGCTAGTTACCCTGTCCATTGATCTTTTTACCATTAATACAGGAAGATCTTAAGTTTGGGGCTGGTTACCCTGTCCATTGATCTTGTTACCATTTATACAGGAAGATCGTGAGTTTGGGGCTGGTTACCCTGTCCATTGATCTTGTTACCATTTATACAGGAAGATCGTGAGTTTGGGGCTGGTTACCCTGTCCATTGATCTTTTTACAATTTATACAGGAAGATCGTGAGTTTGGGGCTGGTTACCCTGTCCATTGATCTTTTTACAATTTATACAGGAAGATCGTGAGTTTGGGACTGGTTACCCTGTCCATTGATCTTTTTACAATTTATACAGGAAGATCGTGAGTTTGGGACTGGTTACCCTGTCCATTGATCTTTCAAAAAGCAAATATTACAGAATTAGATAGCTTCAGACTTAACATAAATAAAGACAACTCAGTATTTGCAATACACCGTCGTATCGACAGTGGCTCCTAGTGCTCTCATAAGCGACAATTTTTTAAAACAGAGACTCATACATTTTGCATGTTCTCTAAGTGGTCTAAACACATTAGCACCAGAATAACTTAAAACAGAGACCCATACACTTGTATGTTCTCAAAGTGGTCTAAACACATTAGCACCACAAAAATTTAAAACAGAAACCCATACCTTTGCATGTTCTTAATAACAAAGACCAGATCATCCTTCTGGAATTTACAAGGGGGGGTCTACGACCCACATTAACGACAGTGTCCTGATTGATTTGACTGTTCTTCAACCGTTCGGCCGTCCTCTGTCAAAGCATCTCTCGTCTACCTTGCTGACTAGACGATCCCGAATTTAATGTGACACTGTTGCACTCACAAACACAAACAACATTTTAACACAAAGAGCACTTTTAAAATGTTAATCACTTGTGACTTCGTACATTACGGACACAAAGAGAAGGAAAATTTAAACCACAAAGATTACTCAAAACAAAACAAAAGAGAAGTGAGCGAAAAGTTCAAATCCCAATTCTGATATTAGGAAACACAAAAG